CTAGGTCACCACACCCACTTTTAAATATTTTTACTTAGAGTATCTGATTCTATTTACTTATTATATTTTTAAGAAATAGAAATCTAAATAATAAAACACCATAGGTGTGTTTTAGTAAAAGTGTGGCTAAAACTAAAAAAAATTTTTAAGTACTTTCTTTTTATTATAATAAAAAAATATAAGTAGATTTTGGTAAAGTTTTTATTTTTAAAATTGGGATTTTTAATTTTTAGGTTTAACTATTTTTAGCTTTAGCCATGACAATTACAGTATTAGTATATTTGCTGTCCAAATCCTATATTACTATAGGTTGAATTTGTTTATAACCAAATTCTAAGTTTATCACAAATTAATTTCTCAGACTTTATTAAACAAATGGTATATTCTTATATATAGTTATAGATAATAGATTTGAATTACTTGTTTGATTTAATCTTTTATAAATAGTAAATTTTTTTTGGAATTTGGGATTTGGTTTTGCCAGCAAGTATAGTTATTGACAATTCTTTTTAGTTGTTCCAGAATTTATAACAATAGCTGTAACGATAAGTCAAATCTGAAATGCAACATCGATTAACGTAGTAAGCTGTCTTTTTTATATGTGCGATCATTTAAAACCAAATATATAGCGTATTTTGAAAACCAGCCAATAGACCGGTTTATTGACCGGTTTATGGACCATCTTGGACTACAGTCCGGTCGTGGTCTTCTGTTGGGACGGTCTTTTAGGACCAAGACTGGACCTGACGGACCGTAATATCCCTATTCTTAATGGTAGTTAGTAATTCAAATTAGCAAAAATTTTCTAATCGATTAACGCTGTTAGCTGCCGTATGTTTTTAAATCGATTGGTTAACTGTAAGGTATACATACTTATTTTCAGGGATTATACTTCTCTTCATGTCATGTAAACCAATTAATTAATTTATATATCATATAAAAAAAAAGTTTATTTTATATACAATTTTAATTAATTAGCAATATATAGAATTTGGAAAATAGGTATGCGTACTTTATTGTCATATGACTCATTATGTATACAATTAATTAAAGTTTACTATAGCATTAATTCAACAATTATTGTAATTGCTTTAAAAGTTTTACATCGATTTAAAGAGCTTAATCAATTTTCGATTCGTATCGTTAGTGGTTGCAATATATTATTCAGCGCGTCAACAAAAAATTGAAGGAGGTTGAGCAAAATCAAGTTTTTTATTGGTAATACTTAATGGTAGTGCGACAGTAATGGTACGTAGCATGTAACACTTTATTTTCAACAAGTTTTACATAAAAGGCAATTTTTGGAACATCGTGTTTAGCATACTTCAAAATAAATGCTTGTACTCTTGCATGCTTTTTTTTGTTATATCAGGTAATAATAACAATAGTTACAATTGCGCAATTTTATTAATAATTATATAGTATCCCGAAATTACTACGTATTATATCCCGAAATTACTATTATATTACCCCCGTAAAATGATTTACCGGAAAAAACATTAAATTTTGTGCACTGAATTGCCGTTATTGTTAAATAATTAATCACAGCTATATTTAGAATATAATCTACATTATTACCGTTATTCCTTTATTTATACATATATTAATAAATTTTATTATAATTAATAACATCACATAAGTTATATACACAAATACCAGTTATGCATTCTTGAAAATTGTTACATGTGTGTTTGTTGATTATATTAAAAAATTTGATTATTTTGATGTTGGTTTAATATTTACTGATAAGTACATGCGTATTGTACGTACGTACAAATAATTAGCTGACCCCAAAATGCTTGTTACAAAATAATATATATATATATATATATATATATATACTTTGTAATTTACATGTATAATGTCGATTATACCATAATTTTAATGTGCCGGTCAGAGTTCCGGTACGAGACGGATAACTTTAAATAAAAGTTATATATTCCATATTGGAAAAGATGCTGAATGAAGTAAATAATGGATTGTATATATATGTGTGTAAAATGATAACAAATTTGTTAATAAATACAATGTTTAAAAGGCAAATCGTGCCTCCCCAAGTCCATGAAATAAACGCCGAATTAATCTATTAAAAAAAAATTTTTTTTCATTTATATAAATTATTATTATGTCACAAAAAGTACATTGAATAAAAATTAAAAGAGATTAATATTTCAGAGTGTGTTTGGTAATCAGGTAAAGAACGATAAATAATGGGCGATTGCGGATTACAATAATGAATATGTGATAATATCCATCGTAACAGAATATTGTATGTATTCGTGATTTTAGATTATTTTAGGCGTTTTATTCTGTGAACCCATTGTATTTCATCCATTAACAGGATATTGTACGCAGGAGGGGAAGCACAATTTGCCCCATGCACTTAAAGTATCCCTATTAAACATATAAAAGAAAAACAGAAAAAAAAGAATCAAAATAATAAAGTATAAGTAATAAATTTACATTGATGCAAACAACAAGCATAGAGAAGTTTGATGTACAACTACGTCTTTCGCTTTGCAAATGTCTTGTTGAGCAAAGATAATATTTTGCCCACGTTAAGCTGTACATATTCGAGGTCCAAAGACACAACATTATCTTGTTGCTATTAAAAATAAAAATAAAAATAAAAAAATATTAAGCACTTAGACATTTCAAATGTTAAACATCATTAATTCTTAATACAAAAAATGGTACCTTCTCTAATAGATCGTCTAACTTGAGATCCATTTCCAAAATGGCAGCGTCACGCCCTTTATAA